TGCTAATCTCCTCTCGCGTGCACGAGCAGCTGGATACGAACAGGTGGAATTTACGCAGCTCATTTACACACTTTTCCTGAAGATAGAGGAGTTTGTTGAATCTGAGGTGACATGTTCGTATGAACCCTTTGTACGAACAAAACTAAGAGAAATTTAGGATAAGAATACGAACATGTTCTTGCATGAGGCCCACTGTTTTGAGTGAAAACAGTCGCTGCAGGAGARCATCTCCCCTGCTGCCAGCAGCTGCTGACTCCTCCAGCAATTTTGACATCTATACTATGAAAAATAACACATCCAGATGTTGTAGTTTTGTTTTTTTTTTACAGTGGAAACCTGTGTGCGTTGCTGGTTTTGGTGTCTGGTGCCACTTGTCTTTGATTAGATCRAGGCAACTTTATCTACTGGAGCACAGGTGTAGAATCACCAGCTCTGAGGTTTCCGTAGCATCGGGGTCAGGATGTTATGTGTCGGAGTGACAGCCTAACAGCTGTTGAGCTGCTGTCTTTTTCCATGTAATGTCCTGCTCTCCGTATTTCGTGACAGAAGAGGGGAGAGAGAGACAAATGTTCTGGGTTCATCTCCTTGRAGATGGCGAGGCAGTGGACGGATGTGCTTCGTCATGTGGTGCATGCACTCTGTGCACTCACTCCCTCAAACATGCCTCGTCCATTAATGAAAATTTATTGCACCGGCTCTTACTTTCCACTTAGGCCACACAAGGAAAACAAATTAAAAACAAGAAAAAAACAACTTTGTCTTGAAGGTTGATTTTTTTTTCTTTTTTTAGCTTCTGTAAAAGCTCTTACTGTAGCTAATGGCTATATCAAGGCTAATCGATACAGTTGTCTGACCAATGCAGTTGACTGACAGGTTTTGGCTGCTGAGGGATTTTGCTCCTATTTTCTGCAGATTTTGGTCTAAGTTTAGTTTATTGAATTTAGAAAGTCTCTATTTATAGGCGAGTTGTTTGTGCAGCTTATATCGACTCTGTTTGCCCTTTCTGAGCACAGTGAAGTGCCCCTAATTGATTTTTTTAACTGCTTCAGTATTAAAACCCAAAAGTATTTTTCAGCCTTTAGATGCCCCTGAGAATGTTAGGTTAAAWAAAGCTATTAGCACACAACTTAWACATGATTTYCTGCATTAGCTAATGCTTTACTGTACCTGCCTCCACTTTACTCTGAATATAAACTCAGACCGAACTCTCCTTTTGTCCCCGTCTTTCTTTGCAGTACCACCAAGTATGGAATTCTCACCTTTCTGCCTCGGTTCCTCTATGAGCAGATCAGGCGGGCGGCCAATGCTTTCTTCCTGTTCATCGCACTCATGCAGGTRAATCCTGATCACAGTGGGCCTTAGCTCATGTTTCATTTTGTACCCAGTCTTTCAATGACACGTCCTGAAAGTCCATTTGAMAACAAAGGTTTGCACGGCCTTTCCTTTTTCATCAGGGCTGTGAAATAGATTTTTGAGAGTGGTACTTTAGGTTGCTTTTTTTTTCTCAGGCCTTTTAAAGTTAGTTTCTATGAAAGGCTTAGAAATATTATTTTATCTTTGAATGACTTCAGTTTGTAGAAACAGTTTAATTCTAACCAGATGGACGAGCTGAGGACAAATCCAAGAGAGGTTTTACATCGTAACATGTGAAAATGTTAAATAATGGAAACTAGGATATCTTGTGTTGTGGTTTCCTCTTTACTGTTTAACAGCACTGTCTTTTTCATGRATGGCAGGCGTGTCTTGCTGCTTTTCTGTTTCTCAAGGAAAGTCATCGCATTTTCTTTCCTCGTGCYGTTTTTGTGGTTTGCGAGGATTTCTTGTCTCTGTCATTATCAGCGTGCAAACTGAATAAATTGCTCTCAAAAGTAGCAGAGATTTCCGAGAGCTGATTCTTTTGTTTCTCACCAGCAAATCCCCGAYGTGTCTCCAACGGGTCGCTACACCACACTGGTCCCGCTCATCTTCATCCTCACTGTGGCCGGGATTAAAGAAATCATAGAGGACTATGTGAGTAACAGAAGTCAGGCATGGCTTTTTAACCATCTTACTTTATTATATAAAGTAAAAAAGACTGTTATTAAGTGATTATCCGAACATTTTTTTTGTCCTCTTTACAGAAACGGCACAAAGCAGATAACACAGTAAACAAGAAGAAGACAACAGGTAGAGTGAGAGTGCTTGTTAAATGTGCATTAACTGTCCGTTCGGGTGCGCTTGCCTCTATTTGCTTGGGTTTTGTTTTCCTTTCATGGCTGGATGAATGGCTGCTGTCTGTCTGTCAATAATAGTGCAGGCTACTGAGTGGCAGACAAAAAGACAAACGTTTTTAGAGGCCATGAATACTGTACGAGACCTGATCTATAGGCTGACTGAGGGCTGTGTTGTGCTTGTCTCTCAGTGCTGCGGAGTGGAGCTTGGCAGACGGTCATCTGGAAGCAGGTATCACTTTCATCCCATCATACTTCAACTCTGCTGCTCGCTCATGCATCGCTCCTGTTTGGTTTTTATTTTATGGTTCAATTTATCATAATGCTTTCAGGCATTATTGACACAATAGGTTCTTTGTAAAGGTGTAGCTGAAACAAAGCTAAAGAAATGTCGTGTTCTGTGAAAAATACAGCGTGAAAGCTGTTTTCTGAAATTTCCTAAGGAAGCAGAAATTAAGTTGTTAAGCTAAGACGAGCAGGACACTAGCTAAAAGTAGCAAAATGTTAGATAMGAGTAGTAAAATGAGTTAAAAGTAGCAATGCACAAGACAAAAATTGTGAAATTCTTGCTTGAAGCTAAAAGTAGTAAAATGCTAGCTAGAGGTCAAATGTAGAAAAAAGCTAGCTAAATGTAACAAAGGGATAACTTAAAGCTAAAAGTAGCAAAAGAAGACGAAAAAGAATAAAGCAAGTATGCTGCAGCAGATCTAGAAATGAATGTTTTATAAAGAACTGAAGACATCACAATCTATTTCTAGAGGGGAAGTTTTTTGAAAAAAAAACAAAACATATTTTTATTTTTAATGATCAAATTTATAAAATCCAAAAGTCATAGCACTCAGCTTCTGAATGACCCAATTTGTTTTGATAAACAGTCCCCTCTAAAAGTATTGGAACAGCAAGTCAAAGTCTCTTGTTTTTGTTGTGCACTGAAGGCATTTGAGTTTAAAATCAAAAGCTGRGCATGAGACAAGAGTTCATAATTTCAGTTTTTATTTCCTGGTATTTACATGTAGATGTGTTTAAACACATTTTTCAAGTGAGCAAAAGTATTGGAACATATAACTAACAGGTGTTTCTTATTGACCAGGTGTTTACTTTAAGGTTGATGTTCAAACATTAATAAGCTCTGCACGATTAGTCTATTGTTTTAGCCTGGGTTTAAACCTATAAAGTAGTTTTTTCTTGTTAAAGAGGAAAAAGCAACATGGAAGACCAGAGAGCTGTCTATGGGGGAAAAGCTGAGCMAAGAAGGAAAATCRGTCAGAACCAWTGGACAAACAYTGGGCAGAGCAAGCACAACAATTTGGAATGTCCTGAASAAAAGAAAGTATTKGTGTACTGAGCAAGAGACGTCCAATGGGTCAGCCAAGGAAAACAACAGTAGTTTATGACAGAAATGTTGTGAAAGCTGTCAAAAAAACACCTAAACATAACATCAGTAAGTGACATCACCAATAATCCCCACAGTTCAGGGGTGAAGGTATCACAACCCAATGTTCGAAGAAGACTCCAAGAGCAGAAATATAGAGGCCATACACAAAGATGCAAACCACTCATCAGAGATTAGAATCAGAAGGCCGGATTAAAATTTGTAAAGAAGTACAGAGATGAGCCACAAAAGTTCTTGAAGACAATCTTATGGGCTGATGAGACCAAGATTAATCTCTACCAAAGTGATGGAAAGGCCAAAGTGTGGAGAGAGAAAGGAACTGCTGATGATCTGCAACACACAAGCTCATCTGTGAAGCACGGTGCAGGTAAAGGCTTGAGCATGCATGGCTGCTTCTGGAACAGCCATGATGGAACTGATGATGGCTGCAGCAGAATGAACTCTGAAGTGTACAGAAACATTTTGTCTGCCAATTTATGGAGAAATGCATCCAAACTAATTCAGAGGGATTTTATCATGCAGCAGGAAAAAGACTCAAAGCACACTGCCAACAAAACTAAGGACTTCATCAGGGGAAAGAAGTGGAASGTTTTGGATTGGCCAAGTCAATCACCTGACCTTAACCCAATAGAGCATTTCAACCTCTGAAGAAGAGACTGAAGGGAGAAAACCCCTGAAACAAACAGGAACTGAAAGAAGCTGCGGTAAACATCTGGAACAGCATCACAAATAAAGAATGCAACAGCTTGGTGTCAATGAATCGCAGGATTAAGGCAGTCAGTGCAAGCAAGGGTTATGCCTCCAAATCTTAAATGTTATTTACTATAACGGTGTTATATCTTAAGTGGTTTAACACATCTACATGCAAATATCATGGGGAAAACAGCTGACATTTAGAACTCTTGTCTCATGTTCATCTTTTGATCCTAAACCTAAATGTTTATTCAGTGAACAACCAAAACAAAAGAATTTGACTTGTTCCAATACTTGTGGAGGGGACTGTATGAAGGTGTAAAATAGCAGAAAACATGCAGAGGCAGTTRGATAAAATAAAAAAACAGCAGGGTGGGGGAGCTGAAAAGTAAATGTGTGAAAGCTGAATCAGAGTTTACACAGGAAAAAATGCTGTAAATCAAATAATACAATAAAATGACATAATAGATGTGAGTAAATCAGGATAAATGCTGCTTCAGCTMCCAGAGCCGAATGAATTCCAGGTTGTCAGACAAACCGTTTCCTTTYGATTCTTATAGAATGTGCTCATTAACACAGCCCAGCTGTGTACATCCTCGCTCCATTAGGTTGAATCAAGTCACATTTAAGTCCTTGTAATGTGGGCGACACGCTTGTTTATCAAGATTTAAGCTCTGCTGTGTCCGGACAGATGAGGGAATTGGTTCCAGCTGCCATTTCTACTCAGTGTTCATTCTTTGTAGAAAAGTCTCATTGTGTAAATTACTTTTTTCCACTGTTTTCCTCTTAATCTTTGAATACAAGACATGGATTTTTTACTTTTAGTGGTTGCCATGAACTTATTAAGGTTTCTGTGTATTGAAGTATGAAAATAGTGCAGTACAGTCTGAAAATTCACATACTCCCATTTAATTATTATTTATGAGGTGTAAGATAGCAGACAGTATATTTGTATAATGAAATGAAAATACTACAAGTAAATCTTGTAGTTTTCCTCTTTAGGCTGTGGGTTCTTCAGACATTGTAAAAAAAAAAATTAGTTTTGATTATGTCTGATGTCGCTCCTCGGCTGTGTTTTAACTTGTCCACATGTTTTTGTTATTCTGACATGATTTTGCAACTCTTGTTTTGAAAAGTGACTTGATAGACTTGTTGTGGGTCTTTATGTTTTTGAAACGTTCAGTTTTTTAGGAATGAAATTTCAAGTTTTATTCTCGTGTACTTTTAGATTTTTGTTCATGTCTGTTTGATGTTAATGAATGCTTTAGTGTTTTTTTATTGCCACACACTTGTCAGTTTTCACTTGCAGCCTAATGAGATCTGTTAAAGCAACACATCGCTGTGCTTTCTGTCATGTTATCTCAAGTCTTTCTCTCTGATGGCTGCGTTCCTTCTGCTCACTGATGAACCTGCCTGTTATTTATGGCCCTTACCTCTTTAACTCTCCTTTACTCTTTAACTCCCCCTCTTCTCACCCCTCATGTTTCCCGTTCCTCACGCTGTTGCACGGCTGCACCCTGGCCACCAGGTGGCAGTAGGAGACATAGTGAAGGTGACCAATGGCCAGCACCTCCCAGCTGACATGGTTATAGTTTCCTCCAGGTTAGACTCTGTTTTACCTGACTGTGCATGAACATGTATCGTCTGTGTATCCTGAAACACTATGTGCCATTAATTTAATCTAACCATTTGCTTTATAATACATTTTCCCAACTAATACTAAAATACACTTTTATTTTTATAATGACGTGGATAAGTAAACAGACTTTTCAAGAATAAAATTGTCTAAATAGAGAAATCTAAACAGTTTTATATTAAATAGTTTGTTTCCTTTCTGCAGCGAGCCTCAGGCCATGTGCTACATTGAGACGTCTAATTTGGACGGAGAAACCAACCTGAAAATCAGACAGGTGTGGAAACGTTTGTTGAATCTTGTTTCTTTTCGTTCTATTTTGAAGGGTTTTTTTCTTTGTAATAAAAACAACTCATTTAGTAAATCTTTCTTGACTTCAGGGTCTCTCCATCACAGCCGGTCTTCAGACCGTGGAGGATTTGATGGCGCTGTCTGGTCGTTTGGAGTGCGAGGGACCCAACAGACACCTGTATGACTTCACCGGCACGCTGCGGCTAGAGAACCAAAAGTGAGACTGAAACTGATAGTTTATCCTGCTGGGATAGAAAATCAGTTTTTTTGTTTGTTTGTTTTTTACTTTCACTTGTTTTTTTTTTTAAAACAGCATTTAATTGTTGTACATAAAAAATATGCTCAAAAACACTCAATGAATCGACAAATGTTTATGTTGACAGACACTATGTCTGCTTTAAATGTGTAAAAATGATACATTTGCATTCTTTAGTAACAAAAATGTAAAGATTTTTTAATCAAAGAAAATTTAAGAAGTTTGATAAAAGAGGTCAGTTTAATATATATATTTTTAATTTTTAGTCTTTATGCTTTTTTCTCTTCAGTCCGGCTCCTCTGGGTCCAGACCAGGTGCTGCTTCGAGGCGCTCAGCTCAGGAACACACAGTGGGTCGTGGGAATTGTTGTCTACACTGGCCATGACTCCAAACTAATGCAGGTACATCTCTTGTCTGATAAAAAGTTTTATTTAAAACATGTAGAGTTCTGGTTTTAAATGTTTAAAAGTAAAACACATTTCAAGCTGGGTTTTATGTCTTTGTTAGCTTTCCTTAAGACTAAAGAGTGTTGGATCAATTCACCTGCTGCTCTGACTTCTTAAACATTATTCTGATAATCATAATAATAATAATAATAATAATAGTAAATATATTTTTACATTGATGCATGTTTTTAAATGACTTCAGTGAGACAGAATGAACTAAAAGGTGTTTGAACTTATTTTATTTTTTTGACCTGTCCACCTTCCAGAACTCCACAAAGGCCCCGCTGAAGCGCTCTAACGTGGAGCGGGTGACCAACATGCAGATCCTGGTCCTGTTCGGGATCCTGCTGGTCATGGCGCTGGTCAGCTCTGTGGGCGCAGCCATCTGGAACAGAGAGCACACCGATGAAGCCTGTTGGTACCTGTCCAGGGCAGGTGAGAGCACCAACACAAAATCTACGGTGAGGAGGAATCAGACACACCTGGGCACTAAATAAGGACATTTCCTGTCTGGTCAGGCGACATCTCCACCAACTTTGCATATAACCTGCTGACATTCATCATCCTCTACAACAACCTGATCCCCATCAGTCTTCTGGTCACTTTGGAGGTGGTGAAGTTCACACAGGCTCTCTTCATCAACTGGGTATAAATACTTCATATCGTAGTCTTCTTATAAAAACATTTCTATAAAGAACAAATGTTCCTAAGGATTGTGCWTTCTTCTCAGGACGTGGAGATGTATTACGCAGAGACAGACACACCAGCCATGGCTCGAACATCAAATCTGAACGAGGAGCTGGGCCAGGTCAGTTCTATCATAACTTAGAAAATTAAAACCGTTACATACTCTGTTAATGCTGATTAAAAACTGGTGTTTCATCTATWTTTTTAGGTGAAATACCTCTTTTCTGACAAAACGGGAACCCTCACCTGTAACGTCATGCACTTTAAGAAGTGTACCATTGCAGGAATCACATATGGGTCAGCCGTCTTTACGTTAACTATCTCTCCTACCTCAGATTGCTTTTAAACACACCTCATTGTTTCTCAACCTTGTAACAAGCTAACTTTATCGTGACGTAGTTGCTCAGTGAACTGCTCGTTTAAACAGAGAAACTAATCAACTGATTTTGAACTGATTCCTTTTGCAATTCAACCGTAACTGCAGCCACTTCCCTGATCTTGACTGTGATCGCTCAATGGAGGACTTCAGGTTAGTGATCTTCTTCGTCCTTCCTCTAGTTTTTCCTGCTTTGAGCATTTTCTAACTTGTTTTTTTCCAGAATGCATGCAGGTTTTGAACATGTTTTATAGTGTTTCAAAATTTCTGACTTTAACTGTGATTCTGTATTTTTGTCTTCCAGTAATCTTCCGTCCAACAGTCATAACTCCACAGAGTTTGACGACCCAACTCTCATTCAGAACATAGAACAGAACCACGTGAGTGCCCCAGGAGGCTTTTCAAACATTTTATTTGGAAGTTTTTAATGTCTTAAAAGGCACCAGAGCACTGCAGTTACACCTCTCAACTCCTCTGTACACTTCCAGCCTACATCTCCTCAGATCTGTGAGTTCATGACGATGATGGCGGTGTGTCACACGGTGGTACCAGAGAGGGAGGACAACCAGATCATCTACCAAGCCTCGTCACCTGACGAAGGAGCCCTGGTCAAAGCTGCTAAAGGACTTGGCTTTGTCTTCACCGCGAGGACCCCTGATTCCGTCATTATCGACGCTGTAAGCTTGTTAAATTCGTCTAAACGTCTGTTTTTAAGGAGGCAGATGCTGATGTTTTGTGTTTTTTTTTTTTTTTTCCAGAGAGGAAAAGAGATGAGCTATGAGCTGCTGAATGTGCTTGAGTTTTCCAGGTAATCCTCTCTGTATCAACAGCTCCATCATTTAAAGCGACGCATGGTTTTAAAGCGTTAAAGGGATCCCCGATTAGTTGTAACATTAGATTTTATTTGATAAACATTTACTTTAACTGTAAAATAAAGACTGTAAAAATACTGTAGCCTGTTTAGTTTTGTAAATTTTTAAATATATATTTTAACACGGATGGGGCCATTTTATTTACACACAAAGCATTCTGGGTAAATGATGACATGGATAGGTCCTCGGTGTGAGCGAGCTATATCCACCCTGAAGGTTAATCTTGGACAATATCTGATGATAGGCTCTTTTAAATGAAACCAGAGAGCGTTGACAGAGAGGAGAAGGTAGAAATGACTCAGCCTGTACCTGAAAATATGGATGGAGGACAACAGAGCTGCTTCACAGTGGAAGAAGCTCAGCTTAGCCTATTAGCTTTAGCATTAGCCCCAACGCTATCACCATATATATGTATTAGCTCAGCGCTACACATTCTCCTCTCGTCACTGAGGTCCTCCATCCACATGACAGAGAGGGGAACGCAAAAATGACTCAGTCTGCAACTGAAAATATGGATGGAGAACCTCAGTTTAGCTTGTTTGTCGCGCTGAACTAATACATGTAAGGCAATATAGCATCGGCGCTAGCATGAAGGCTAACAGGCTAAGCTGAGGTTCTTCCATGAAGCAGCTCTGTTGTCCTCCATCTATATTTTCAGTTACAGGCTGAGTCATTTCTACCTTCTCCTCTCTGTCAACGCTCTCTGGTTTCATTTAAAAGAGTCGATCATCAGATATTGTCCAAGATTAACCTTCAGGGTGGATATAGATAGCTCACACCGAGGACCTATCCACGTCATCATTTACCCAGAATGCTTTGCGTGTAAATAAAATGGCCCCGTCCGTGTAATATATTTTTAAACTTATAGTTTAAAAATTATAAAAATAAACATCCTACAGTATTTTTACAGTCTTTATTTTACAGTTAAAATATATRTTTATCAAATAAAGTCTAATGTTACAACTAATCAGGGATCCTTTTAAAGCTAGAATCACTTCTTGTTTCACAGTAACCGCAAGCGTATGTCTGTGGTGGTCCGGACGCCCAACGGGAAGCTGAGGCTGTACTGCAAAGGAGCCGTATGTTTTTCTCATCGTCATCATCAATCCTGAATCCAGTCACAAGCTGTTGATGAAATAAAACGTCTTCTCTTTGTCAGGATAATGTTATTTTTGAACGACTGCACGAAACGTCTCAGTACAAAGAAATTACTGTTGCTCATCTGGAGCAGTTTGCTACTGAAGGTAAAAACAAACAGTGGAAAGGAAATACTAAAATAATGTCTGYTTCATATCTTAAATGTTTTTTTTTAATCCTGTAGGTCTGAGGACCCTGTGTTTTGCGTACGTGGACCTGGAAGAGGGCGCCTATCAGGAGTGGTTGAAGGARTACAGCCGAGTCAGCACTGAACTCAAAGACCGCGCTCAAAAACTAGAGGAGTTATATGAACTATTGGAAAAGGTAAAATCTAAATAATAATACTGATCTCTGTATCTGGCCAACACTTTAATGTGAAGGGTCATGTTGAAAACTAAGATTCTGTAAGTCTTAAAATATCTCGTATTTATTGTTTTTTGCGTTTTCTTTATTTTATTGTTGTGTGTGAAAACTAACAATCAACATCCAATAAAGATAAAGTTTGTATTTTATTAAATTTTTTTCAATTAATTTTATTTTTTATGTTTATTTCAAACATGTACAGACATAAAAACAAAACAAGAAAACAGAATTAAACGTATGTGAAACAAAGCCAAACAAAATAGGGATGCACCGATATGAACATTTCAGCCAATATCAATATCCGATATTATTATTGTGTGTATTTATAGCTGATAGCCGATATTTACTGATATTGCACAATAACACAACTTATTTACAGTATATACATATACGCACAAATATACTTGTCTTTTTTCGATACCGTATAAAAACAACCAGACCGCTGACATGACTCTCTACTTGAGTTCTAAAAACTAAATCTGTAAACTTCAAACACTTCAACTTTATTTATTTTATATTTAATTTTATATTTATTTGTCCACCCCCCACCACCACCACCAAACCTCCTTCTGGAGAACCTTAGTGGTTGATAGGGCAGCTTTATGTAGTGRACAGATTTATTTATTTATTATTATTTTTTTATTCATATGCATTTGCTTTGTTTGCCAGCAGGGGRCAGAGTTGCTCCATTGACTCCCACCTTTGACCTTTCTTAATTAAGCATCACATCCTTGGATTGYAAAGCACAGTTAGAATAAACTTTTTAAGTTCTCTCCATAGTTTTGCTTGGTGCTTGTCCTTGTTGGTCATATATGTTGTTAAAAAGTAAATGTTTGGACTTTCTGTAGAGCAGAACTGTTGCATATAAAATCCAAAGACTTGAGGAAGAGAGTTGAAGTGAGAAAAGTATGTTAGGAGAGAGAAAGAAGGAAGCATGAGGAGGAGGAGGAGGAGGAGGAGGAGGAGAGCTCCGGTTGGGAGACCACAAGGATAATTACCTGCACAAGTCTGCCAAAAGCCCCATAAAACTGGAGTCAACAACACAGTTGTGTTAAGTTGGGTGTCTGTGTGGGAGTCTAATGAGGTCACACATGCATTTAAATGCTGAACAAATTAAAGCAAGCAGGGGGAAAGGTAATGGCTTACTTTTTTGGCATGAAGAAACAGAGTCAGAACAGAGGTCCAAACTGTGCTGCTTTTCCAGCCGAACCCTTCTGGCATCGCTCGTATCCTCCAATTAGATCTGTATGATGGAAGGATGCTCATGTAAAAGACCGACTGAATTTGTTGACCAAACTTGTTTTCTTGTTAACTTCATTAGCTGTTTATTATTACTATTATTATTTTAAACCGTTATGTTTTACTCTCGACTCTCTCTCCGTCCCACCAACAGAACTTAATGCTGCTGGGCGCCACGGCAATAGAGGACCGTCTCCAGGCCGGCGTCCCAGACACGATCGCCACTCTGATGAGGGCCGACATCAAGATCTGGGTCCTTACAGGAGATAAGCAAGAGACTGCCATCAATATAGGTGAGAGGGAGGAATAGATAAGTGTTGAAAGGTATTTGTGTTTAGKGGGGAAGTAGTCATTTTGATTGTTTTTAAAGTCCTGACATATAAGGGGATTGCAGTGACACAGGTGTTTGGTTTCCTGACAGTCGTGAAAAAAGATGCTGGCAGGTGTCCAGGAAGTTCGAGGCTTTTAAAAGAAAAACAYGAGCTGACTGACATTTGTCGCTCCTAATTGAAGTGGAGATCTCCTCAGAGACTCAGCTTCACTTTTTGTTTTTAACCAGCCTGAGAGCAAAGTGATGTTCCGGATTTTCCTCGTGTTTTGTGTTAAATTTCCACTTTGCATCCAGAACGTTCAGCCTCATTTGATCCACATTGTTCCTCAGGTTACTCCTGTCGTCTGGTGACACACGGCATGTCCCTCGTTATCGTCAACGAAGACTCCCTCGATGTGAGTAAACCTTTTCTTACCCCTCCTCCTCCTCCTCCTCTTCTTGGGACTTTTTGTGTGAGGGTTCCCGAGGGAGGAAGTTCTGCGGTGGGGTCTTCAGCAGGTTACCGTGAGAACCAGGGTGTGGTCCACAGCCAGATTGGTGGGTGGGGCTCTTTGTGTGTTCACAGGTGTAGGTAATTAAAGTCTCTGATGTCCCCCACCACCACCACCAAACCTCCTTCTGGAGAACAGCAGATAGAGTTTTAAACTGTCACTGAACTATCCCGCTCCCAGTCGGATCTATTTCTAGTTAAATGCCAGCAGATCGTACGTGTTCACGTTACAGTTGCTACTTAGAGTGAGGACTAAGGCTGTCCTTGTCAGCAGATTTAATTTTCTTAATTCTTTTAGCCCCACTTGAGTGTTCTTTGCATTTCATGCGGGACTTCTTACCCAAGACTGCCTCATTGGCGTCATGTGTTTTCCAGCACACGGTCTGCAAGAAAGTCACGGCATTTTCTTATTCCTGTGTTTTAATATGCGAAACGTTGGAGATTTGGCCTTCATAGATGTGAAGTGTAGCCCTGTCTGTTTGTGTTTGTGTGTGAGCGAAGCTTTGTGGGCCCAAAGTGTGCGTAAACACTAGAAGGATAGACGTCTGTGCTCGTTTCTCAGCTGGTGGGCGTCTCGGTGGCAGTAATCATATTAGTTTGCAGCGTGATTCTGTTATATGGTGAACAGGGGATCTCATTTTATGTGTAAAATAATTTTAACTTGGTCATGGTTGTACAATTAACTGAACACCTTCCCCACCCCCAGCATCATTTCTGATCCTCGCCTCACTCTGATAAAATGGCTTCTTGTGATTTTTCACACTTACCTAAAGATAATGCCTCAAAGTTTCCAGACTTTCTGAGCTGCTGGTCGAAATCCAGACATGGACACTTTGATGGAAAATGGAATTAGTTTGGACAGAGTGAATATTATGCTTTAAGGTGATTAGCTTAACGTTCCCCATACAGTCAGCTCAATGTGTGAAACAGAAGAAGATGATCAATCCTAAAATGATTTGTAATTTTTTAGCAGTTTGATTGAATACAGCTGAAGGTTAGCTGTCTGTGTTCTGTAGTTGATGTGAAAAAGGGATGCTTTGGCTTGAACAGATGATAAACGGCAAATTCAAAGCAAAAAATCCTCAGCAAAGGTTAAACATACAGCTTTTATTGGTCAGAGAGGAAATCAGTCAAAGTTCCCGAGTGTCATTTGCATCAACATGTGAGAAAAGAAAACGTTCTAATCCATCTTAAACTATTTTCAGACAGGAATAAAAACATTTGGAATGGCTGAGTGGCTTTATATGAAGTGTTACAGCTGAGCATCGCTGTCTAAAGACGACAGGATAAACACAAAAGACTGTGGGAAGAGTCGCTGAGCGGAGCAAGAAAACAGTTTTTTTCTTCTACTTAGCTTTTTCACAGGAAAACTGAGAAGAACAGTTGGATGACATTCATGAGACGACAATGATGGGTTGTGAGTGGATTCTCGTRTGCGTGATCTCATTAACGCCTGCTGCCGAGAAGAAAAAACAATGTTTCTGCCTCTGTGTGCGCAGGTTATGTTCAAGGTTTGCTCAAAACTACAACTGACATTTCTCAACAGCAGATGGTCTCAGTTTGAAAATTTAACTCGAGGAGGTGGTCGACCATGATTCTATTTTAAAAATGCTAGATCTTTAATTATTTCTGTGTTTTTAGCTAATTTTTCAGTGCCTGTAGAACACGTGACAAACTCAAGACCTGCAGGTCAAATGTCACCATTGAGACACCCCCACTTACAAGAAGAAAAAAATGTTTTATTTAAACCTAATTTTATATAGAAATACATGTTAAATCAATTTTAAACTTTATATTTACGATTCAATGCAACAAAATACATTTAAAACATGAAAAACAAAAATATTTGTCCTGAGCAATTGAGTTGATTAGCCCTGTAKTAATGTCTCACAATAAGCTGCTTTAAAGCCAGCATCAACCATAAACTACATCTCCCATAATGCATGTCGATGATTTGATATCCCACCACCAGGTGGAGCTGCACATGATTCAAAAGTAGCTGGCAGATGAAATTCATCGTGTAAAAATCTGTATTTAGCTGCATTTTCGCCGGCTACTATTACTGTGGCTAAGTTGTACTGGGAGGTGGGAATTTCCCACTTTTAAGCCATAAATTTAAACTGGAACGCCCCTCCAGTGGGATTTCCCAGTCAGAATATGGGGAGTTCAAAATTCAAGATGGCAGCTACTCAGCRCAACAGTAAGACTTGTTTACTTTTAATAGTATTTCTGTATTATTTATTTCACATATTCAGTTATACTCATACTTTTCAGTGTTTTATAAGAGGATGTGTTTAAACACTGTTTTTATGCATGAAATACCATGTAGAGCTCAGTAATTATTTCTTAGTGGTGTTCAGTGTAGAAATGAGGAAGTGACGTTTCCTGTTTAGTCAAAGTTAAACACGAAACGTTGAAGTTAATTACARCTGATGCTCATGTGGCCCTTAGTGAAAATGAGTTCAACACCCCTACTGTTGAAGCAACACACCAAACACAAGACCTTTTAAAATGTTTTGCTTATAAGATTGAAATCCACCTTTACCACAATAACATTTAAAGATGTTTGGAGCCGCAGAAACATGTGGAGTCAGTCATGCCTCCTTATCAGGRCGACTTCAGAGCTATGGTCGTGTGTGATGTAGATGAAAGCCATGCCATCTTCAGCTCCACACTTATCAATGGCTCACTTAAAATAGCTCACACCAGGCCCTCTTCTTTACGCATGTGGGCCCGTTTGAAAGTCCGACCTGCACATGAGTGGAAACAGAGGCAGCTTATCAAAATCTCTCCTCAGGGTTGACCTTTTTGCTCCCATTTGTATCAGGCACTGTAGCATCACTGGTAATGTTTTCAGCTTGTCAGTGTGCCTTTAAGTGTGATCAAGGRAAAACTCAGACCTGGAGTCTTGTGTTAACAGATTTTATCAGGACACAGCTGAAGAAGCCAGACGACATTACAGTAAAATATTGAAAMACTACTTCTGCTACTGGTTAACCCGTATTGAAAAATACTGCCTGAGTTAGTGTACTGTAGCTTCCACTCATGACCAAAAACAGAATTTCAAAATCAAACAAGTTAATAAAGGATAAAACTTGACGAGAGTGGAAATTAGCTTCTCAKTGGGTTCAGTTATGAGTGTTTGTCCAGTCAAGGGTTGGGTGATATTGGCAGATGAAAAAATCATGATTAATCGTGGCATTTGGCCAATAACAATTCAATTTAAAAATACTTGACTGATCCCAATGGGAAATGAAATAAAATAACGATTAATTAGTGCTGGATGATATGGCTGAAAAACTTTTTTTTGTTGTCTAGCATCTAGACACCTTCAAAAAAATAATAGCTTTTATTTTGAAGGTGACTCTTAGCTTTCCCAGTGTTGTTTAACTGAAAGGTCCTAGCTTATTGTATCAGAAAGTTATTTAGAAGTTATAACCAGTGAAATTATCAATATTATATCAGACGTTTTCTATRTCACATATTGAACATGTGTTTATCACAGTATATATTGTTATTGAATCATCACCCAGCCCTATGATTAATGACAGGGTTTTTTTTGCATGTTTTTGACTCTAAATTACCCTGTGTTCTAAAATAGTATTTCTAAATTCAGTCAAATAAATCTTAATTTTTAACAGGTTAAATTAGTAAACTATGAATTAAAACCCACTTTTCTCACAATGTTGAGGGACAGCAGATATTTAATATCGAGCTAATGTGTGCGCTTGATGGTGAAAATACATTAAACACAAAAATATGTCATGTGGCTCTAATTGCAGTAATTGCAAAGTGACAAATATTAATTATTGACAGTTTTTCCTGGCAAATAATTGCACACTATATGTTTTTTCCATGTTTATGCATTTTTCTTTCCGTGTAAATCTGCTGATCGTTGATTGATGGTGACTGTGTCCATCCATCCATCCATCCATCCATCCATTTTCTTCCGCCTATCCGGGGTCGGGTCGCGGGG